ATCAGCTCCTAACTTTTCCCCCTGCCTCCCCCCTTCTCCCTCCTTCATGGACCCTTCATAAATTCATAAATAATTATTATTTTGTCACATCTTACACTGTCTGACATCTCCCTTCACCCACTTTTCTGTTGCTCATCCCCCAGGGAGGATGTAGATCCTTGGAATCAGTTACCCCTTTCTACCCCACCTTCCCTCCACCCTCCAGGTATCGCCACTCTCACCACTGGTCCTGAAGGGGGTCATCTGACCTGGATTCCGTGTGTTTCCAGCTTCTGTCTGTACCAATGTACATCCTCTGGTCTATCTAGATTTGTAAGGTAGAATTGGGATCATGATAGTGGGGAGAGGAAGCATTTACGAAATAGAGGAAACTTGTATGTTTCATCATTGCTACCCTGCACCCTGACTGGCTTGTCTTCTCCCCGAAACCCTTCAGTAAGGGGTTGTCCAGTTGCCTACAGATGGGCTTTAGGTCTCCACTCTGCACTCACCCTCACTTACAATGATATGACTTTTTTGGTTTTTGATGCCTGATACCTGATCCCTTCAACACCTCTTGGTCACACAGGCTGGTGTGCTTCTTCCATGTGGGCTTTGCTTCTGAGCTCGATGGCTGCTTGTTTATATGCAAGCCTTTAAGACCCCAGACATTATATCTTTTAATGGACGGGCGCCATCAGCTTCCTTCATCACATTTGCTTATGTACACATTTGTCTTCAGCGATCATATCAGGAAGGTGGGCACCCACTGATATGATTTTTTGTTCTTTGATGTCTGATACCTGGTTCCTTCTACACTTCGTGGTCACACAGCCTAGTGTGCTTCTTCCATGTGGGCTTTGATACTTCTGAGATAGATGGCTGCTTGTTTATCTTCAAGCCTTTAAGACCCCAGACGCTATATCTTTTGATAGCCGGGCACCATCAGCTTTCTTCACCACATTGCTTATGCACCCATTTGTTTTCAGGGATAGTGTTGGGAAGGTGTGCATCATGGAATGCCAATTTAATAGAACAAAGGGTTCTTGCATTGATTAAGTACTTGAGTGGAGGTCCAGTGTTCATCGGCTGCCTTAATACTAAACCTATAAATATAAGCACGTAGATCTATTTCCCCAACATTCTATATAAATATATTTGCATATGTACATGCCTGTATTTAGACCTCTACAAATACTCATTGTCTCCTAGTTCTTCCCTCTATTTCCTTTCGCTTTCCTCTTGTCCCACTATCATGCCCAGCCTTCATTTGGGTTTCAGTAATTTCTCTCGGTTGCATTGCCCTTGCTGAATCCCTACCAGGCCTCTCACACCCTCCTTGCCACTAATTTTGGATCACTTGTTGCTCCCCTGTCCCTGGGTTGGTCAACACCACCTCCTTACTCCCGCCTCCCCCTCTCCCATGTCCGAACCATCGATCCCGTTGTTTTCTCCTCCAGACTGTTCATCCAACCTATCTTATCTAGGTAGATCTGTAGGGATAATAATATGCACCAAAAAGCAAGGCATAGCAAGACAAAGTGACAAAAGAGAACACAACAATGACAACAAAAAAGAAAACCAATGACCATAAAATAATGGATTAATTTTAAAAAAAGAAAAAAATTTAAAAATTTTCAAAAGAAAGAAAAAACTGTAAATATATCAAGGTCTGATTTTTGACCTCTAGGCTTGTCCTCCAGTAAAGTTCGATGGGGTGCCATGCTCTGGCCCCAGAGTCTATCCTTTGCACTCCCTCGGGAGCTCCCTGCTCTGCTCCCCTCATTGTTCTGCCGCACACCTTTAGTGTTTTGCCTCTGTGTTGTGGGGTCAGTCCGGGCCAATCTCAACACTGAGTCTCCAGTGTTGTCCCCTGTAGGGCCATGGGTCAGCGAGGGACGTCGTGTCTCACAGTGTCATCAGCCATATATGGTCCACTCTGTGCATTGGCTGTTCAGAGCAGGGATATCGTCCTCCAGGCCTGGTGGGTTAGGATGTGCTCCACTCTCTCTTCCTCCCCATTCATTTGTTCCCGTTTGCTCTGATCAGACATGTCCCTCTCCGCTAGCTGCAGCTTCAGTGCTGTCCTCTAAAGTAAATTCTTCTGGGTGGAGGGCCAGTTGTCCATGTAGCTGGTATGGGGACCAAGCCCTCAGGCCCCTCCACTAGCTCCCCTCTCCATGCCGGCATGCTGCATTCACTTCCTGGAACACTGGATTTAAGTCTGGTCCCTCTTTCCCTGTAGAGACACAAATAGTATCCTCCCCTTGGGTGGGTCAGTGCCCTATTCTCCTGCCACACATCTCTTTTTTTCTCCTTTCCTCCCCCTCCCTCCTTTATAGTTGGCTACCATATGTACCCCTGGATTTGGTCTGGCCCCTGCCATACTACCTGGACCTCACCGCCGGAGTGTTTGTATACAGCACTTTTTTCTCTGTCCCCCTTTTGCATTTTTTTAAGAAATGCTTTTGGCTATTTCATATGTGACTGCAGCTATTTCAAAACCCCTAAATTATCCATATTATACTCTTATCTTCAACGTCATTTTTGAATCAACTTTGGAGGAATTTTATTATTATGAGCACTAAACAAATATAAAAATCTCTGAATTACAATCTAAGTTCATCATCAAATAAAGATCATTGGTTTTATTATCTAGGGCACTATTTATCAACCATGATTCCACGGTAAAATATTTGCTAAGCTTTAAAAAGGTACCAAAACTCTAGTTTCCACACCTAGGGATTCTGATTTAATTCTGATGTGGAGCCTCAAAATGAATGATGTTTGCTACATGATTCTAATGTGTAACCAGTATTGAGAACCATTGATGTAGGGGGGAAACCAGGACTCTTGCTTTTCTTTTATAACTTTAGTGCTCTCAAAATCTATGCTGTTGGATAGTAATACTCTCCTTGGAAAAGCTTGTTCTGAGGATGTAGGATCCTGGATTTAATGCTTACTTTGCTATATAGGATGTCATACTTTTCAAAATCAACCAGTCTCGAATCAGGGACTCACTAACCACAAACAAACTTTGAAGAGGCTGATAAGTAACCAATGAACTAGGAAGATAGGTGGTTTATATTTCTTCCCAATTTTCTGATAATAATCACTTGTTAAAATACAGCTTCTCTGGCTCTATCTTAGACAAAGTGAACTATATTCTTCAGGGGAGGGGACTAACAATCTATATTTTAAACTAATATCTCATGTATTCCTTATCAAAGTGGTCTGAGAAACATTTTAGTTTAAATTTAATATGTTGATAACTAGTATTTATTTAATGGTAGGAGGAGACATGGGCATATTTCTGATTTTCAAGTTTTGTGTCTGTCATCCAAGGAATTCTCTTCTTAATATAAGAAAATCTGGTAAACCAAAGTATAATCAGAAAATAACTCAGTGACCATGAAGTCAGAGCACATGATAATTCTGAAGAATCATTCATTCAGGCTTTGGTAAAACCTAATGAACTCTTCTGGGTCCACAATAGAGTACATCTCATGAGTGGGCACAGTTCTCAAACTCTCCAAAATTGACATCTTCCTTTCTTCTTTACAGTAATTCGCACATTTTGGGAATAGCCCTTGGTTAGTCTTTAAATTATTAGATTGTTGGAGGATTTAAAATAAAATAAAATTGGTTATCCTTAAAATATCCTCAGTTTTGTGGTTTCTTTATTTGGATAAAATTCTTTTTATATTTGGCTTATGAAATTTCTTAATTTGCTTTTTCTAACCAAAGAGAAAATGAGAGGATGATGATATTAAGAACATAGAAATAGACCTCCTGCTTCCAATTCTACCGAAGAAGCAGAATATGTAGGTAGATTATATAGGGTCTCTATTCTACAGTATTTGATTCATTATGAAATGGCAGTTAGTAATGCTGTAAAATTTGCTTTCAGTTTTTATTTTGGTTTTATTTTATTTTTATTAAAGGATCTTTTTATTGGGGGCTCTTACCACTCTTAAAATAATCCATACATCAATTGTATCAAGTATTTTTTTACATATGTTGCCATCATTATTTTCTAAACATTTACTTTCGATTGAGCCCTTGGTATCAGATCCTCTTTTTTTCCCTCTCCTCCCCACCCTCATGAACCCTTGATAAATTATAAGTTATTATTATTATTTTCATATATTACACAGACTGCTGTCTCCCTTCCCCCATGGTTTTCTATTGTTCATCCCCCTGGAGAGGTGTGTATGATTATTTTTCGTTCATCGCGATTGGTTTCCCCTTCCTCCCCTCCTCTCCCTACCTTCCCCCTACCCTTCTGGTATCGCTATTCCCGTTCCTGTGCCTGGATTCCGTGTGTCATGAGCGCTTATCTCTCATCTGTACCTGTGCACATGCTCCGGTCTAGTCCAAAGTGATAGGCAGCACTGGGGTCATGATAGTGGGGGGTGAGGAAGCCTCAAGGAACCAGAGAAATATTGTGTGTTTCATCAGTGCTATACTGTACCCTGGTTGACTCATCCCTTTCCTGTGACCTTTCTGTGGGGGGATGTCCTATTGTCTACAGATGGGCTTTGGGTCTCTGCTCCGACCCCCCTCATTCTCAACAATTGGTTTTTATCTTATAACCATATCTGTCTGTTGAAATTACTTTGGGTAAACTAATGCACTACAGTGATTCCAGATTAGAGAGTTTAAAATATACTTTTTATTGGTTTTATTTTGGGGTTTGGATTGGCAGTAAAGAAGAAGGTGGGTTGTGCTGAAAAAAGGAATTTTGTTTGTTGAAGGATTAAGAAGCAGTGGTTGTTTGGACATGTTACATTTCAGGTGCCTGGTGGACATCCGTGTAGCAATGCTAGCAGGAAGATAGTAACTTCTTAGGAAAGGAATCATGTCTGCAGAAGCAATGTGATAAACTTGAAAGGATTCTCCACTCTAAGTTAGAAGGCATGAGCTCAAAGAGGCTAATTTCATTACCCTCCAATGGTAACATCATGAGATTCTCAGTGTACTCTACTGACCATCTGAACTTGAACTTTCTGTTTTTTCAGCATTTTATATGAGACCTTACATTTGTCATATTTGTAGTATTATCTTTACATCTTCAGAAATGTTCCGGTCCCATATGCGAGGAAATGAACATCAAATCAGGTATGTATTGTTGCGCAAATGTTTCTATAACACCAAAGACCAGCGCCTCTGTCAAGTACCCTTACATATATTGTACAGACTTTAGGCATTAATTCTTTATGAATTGATTCTGAATTTGTCGCATATCCTAGCATCTTCCAGTGAATACCCTAGGCATTGTTATGTATTGGCAGAGCTGGCTTGCTGGTGCCCTTCTTGATCAGACAGCATTATTCCTTTTTGGAGGATGTTAAAGTGATATTCTCAGGGTAATCATATAAATTCGGAGAATCCTTGGAAGATTCGCTTAGTTTTAGGGAGTCTGTGGGCATCATTCTCCCAATGAAATAAAAAAGTTAAAACAAAATTATTTGCTGTTGAATATGGACCCACCTTTCTAACAAGTATGTAACTCTGGACAACTGTTATAAGGTTGTTTTAATGACATGAAATACTATGTGTTAGGTGCTTGGCCCTGGTACACAATAAAAGCTCATTAAATATTTAGTTCGACCGGTTCTGTTATTTTATGGAGGGATGATTGGAAGGAAAATTAAAGACTAGGCAAGCCCAGTAGCAAGACAGAAAGGGATTTAACTGCTGTGTATTTGGTTGGCTGTTTCTCCAATGAAAGTATTCCTGTTAAATTATTTCATTCTAGTAGAAAATGTTTACATTTTGGGGGGAGCTAAACTGTCTTACTCACCAAATTAATTTTTATTTAGATTTTAAATAGAAGACTCAAAGTGTCCCCAAATAAATAACTTGTCACATTTGTAAATGTATACAAGAAACTGACTAGTGGAAATTTCAGAAGGTGATGTGACAAGCAGGTCAGACCATCCATCAAAACCCAAACCCAAACTCATTGCCATCGATTCAATTCTGACTTACCATGACCCCATAGAGCAGTGGTTCTCAACCTTCCTCATGCCGTGACCCTTTCCTACAGTTCCTCATCTTCTCGTGACCCCCCCCAACCATAAAATTATTTTCATGGCTACTTCATCACTGTCATTTTGCTACTGTTATGAATTGTCATGTAAATATTTGATATGCAGGATGTATTTTCATTGTTACAAATGGAACATAATTAAAGCATGGTGATTAATCACAAAACAATATGTAATTAGATATTGTGAAATACTTATCTGTTTTCCAGTGGTCTTAGGCAACTCCTGTGAAAGGGTCGTTCGACCCCCAAAGGGGTCGCAACCCACCGGTTGAGAACCACTGCTATAGATAGAGTAGAACTGCTGCATAGGGTATCCAAGGCTGTAACTGTTAAGGAAGAGAACCCTCGTGGTGCTGTGAGGTGTTGAGCTGCTAATTGCAAGGTCAAGCAGGTAGTTCCAACCTATCAGCTGTTCCACAGGAGAAAGAGCAGGAGGTCTGACCCCCATCTTTTCACTTTTGGAAGAGTTGCACTCTTGGAAAACCTACATAGGGTTGCAACGTGTCAGAACCAACCCCATGGCAATGGGAACTTTTGTGGAAGCAGATGGTTGCATTTTTCTCCCACAGAGAGGCTGGTGAGTTCCAACTGCTGACTGTGAGGTTAGCAGCTGAGTGCTTAACTACTGTGCCACCGGGGCTCATTGGCCATCCATCAGAATATTAAATAGTTTTGGTCCTCACCTATATTTCCAACCAAGAACTCACATTTTTAGTACTACAAGGCCATCAGATATACCATCTGCTTTATACTCATTCTTCTTTTAATTCCAGTCTTAAGAATTTTTTTGTGAAAAAATTTTGAAGTCCCTAAGAGATATTTGACTACCTGCTGCTATTTTGGCATAAAAAGTCATGATTCAGAGCTTTTATATTGAGGTGATCTTTAAAAATTCTGAGAGTTTCTGAGATCACTATTTTGAGAACAAAGAAAATATTCCAAATAATTTAATAACAAGAACTTTCTACCATCCTTTTTTCCAGAGAAACCCTTGTTATCAGTCTAGTGAAGAATTCAAAAACACAAGGGACTTGCCAAGGTCAACGTGAAGAGGATATCAACGTGCAGAATGCCAGAGAACTAGAGTCACACTCTTGTTTCAGAAAGATGGACTCAAGCTCCGGGGAAGCTCGGGGGTATGGAGAAGTGTTTCATTTTGGACCAAGGCATAGAGTGTTTGAGCAAAGATTCTCATATGAGAATTTCCAAACATACCCAAGACCACAGAATATTTCTCAAGCAGGGGAAAACCAGTTACTTCAGTATTTACCAGCTCATTCACAGGAGAGGTCTCACTCTTTCATAGACGAAGTGGATGATAACATTAAAATGCAGAGAGGCAAAGAATTAGAACCACAGCCCTGTTTCATAAGGATGGAAGATAGCTTTATCGCAACCTATGGGTACAAAGAAGTGATTGATTCTGGACCTAGGCATAGATATTTTGAACAAAGATTATCATTTGCACCTTTCCAGACCCACCAAGAACCATGTGCAATTTCACCAGTGGAAAACAAATTATATAGGCCACTAACTCCTTCTAAGAGGACATATGACACTTTTCAAGATGAGCTTGAAGATTACATCAAAGAGCAGAAAGCTAGAGGACTAGAACCAAAGATATGTTTCAGAAAGATCGAACATCGCTCTGTGGAAACCCATGGGGACAGAGAAATGACAGATTTTAGACCTAGCCATCAAATGTGCGAGCAAAAGTACCCATTTGAGACTTTTCAGGCTTGCACAGAATCACACAATACTTCACAAACAATAGAAAACCAGCTACCTCATTGCTTGCCAAGTCAAGAGAGCAAAGAAAGACTAGACTCTATAAACTATCAACTCACCAGACACTGTGAAAAATCAGCACACTTGAGCCTTAGTGAACAGGAAAGTGACTCTAGTCCATACTATATAGAATCGGAATCATACAAGGACCCCTCCCCAGAAAACAATGCCAGTGACAATCAAACAGGTCATATACGGAGACATCAAAAGAGAAGGAGGCATCTGGAAGAGGGAGTAGAAAAGACAGAGAAGGAGCAGTCCAAGCATAAACGAAAAAGAAGGTTTGAAGGTGCGAATTTAGAAGACAAGAATATCCAACAAAAGGAAGGGATAGCGGATGAAGTCTGTGTTAGTCCAGGAAAGCCTAAGCATCGAAAGAAGAAAAAAAGCCACGGTGCAGCCTCTGAGAAAGCACATAGGCACAGAAAAGAGAAAAAGAAACACGTTGAAGAGAAGACAGAAGAGGAAATGCTTTGGGATGAGTCTATTCTTGGATTTTGAACTTTTCCGTTGTTTACCCAAGGATGAAGAAGTCAGTTAAGATAGGATTTTGCTAAAGATAGGAGCATCTGCTGAAGAAATGAAGAAGAGTATATAATCAGTATCAATTCAGGAACGCTTAAGAATTGAAAAAAAATTTTTTTAAAGTCTAAGCCAGGCTTCTGCAAAGAAGAACATAAGTGCAGAAACTCAGCCAGCAGCTCCGCTGGAGCTGTTAATCTGCTTCCATGGAGATTGTATCCAGGAAAGCTCTTTGTGGCAGTCCTGTGCTGTCACATGATGTTGCCAAGTGTCAGAATTAACTGTGTAGCACCCAACAACAACAAGGGCAGAAAAGACAAGAGAAACCTGTTAAAGAAAAATGGAAAGGGCAATGCTCTGGGGTGAATGTATTCTTGAATTTTGAAACTTTTTTGTTCTGGTACCCCAATGTTGATTTTTTTTTTAAATTGAGGTTTGATGAAATTCATATTATTAGATTTGCCTTAGGTGGATTGGTACTTGAAACTTCTAAGAGTCAAGTGAAGTCAAAGTACAGTGAACCCTCGTTTATCGCGGTTAATCGGTTCTAGACCCTACAGTGATAAATGAAATTCCGCGAAGTAGGATTCCTTATTTGTAAATCAAATATTTTCGTAGTTAGAGCATAGAGGACATGAAAAAACACCCTTTAGTCACCATTACACTCGTATTACCCAATTTATTAAACGAAAAAGGGAAAATACAGTAAAACATTTTGGACGTTACAATTATCATTTATTATTTATTATTTTATTTATGGCATCAAGCGTGTACAGTATGAGCCAATCAGTGGCAGTAATGACAGAGCATGCGCTGTTACGCAAAAACAGCGACAGAGTGAAGCCACGGAAGTCGAAGCGCGAAGTGGCGAGGGTTCACTATATTCAATATGCCTTTCCCTCAAGTTATTTTTTAAAAAGTTCCATATTTCTTACATGTGATGTAATTTCCCTCAATGGGGGTATCTCTAATTGTCTTTCTCAATCTTGCTGTGGTAGTACATTATTTACCATGGGAGATTCTTTATTTTAAATGATATATTTAACCCGACATTGAAGAATCCATGGTTTGTATGGGTTCATGTTACTGTTGATGGTGTGTGATTTTTGTTGGCTGTTTACGTTTTGTGTTTTTCTCCAAAGAAAATGTATGAAGTAATCTATGCTGATTTTTTCCTTTATTAAATCTAACTGGCAGTATATTTTTGTATTTTCTAATTCTGAAAGTCTAAAGTGAAACTGTTGTAATAATAAACTTAGATGGTATAGTTTTGAAAAGCTTTCAAAAGGCACTGCTATAAAATCAGTCTATATTCTGGAAATGTTTATATTAAAGTGTTCTAATTTCTACATACTGTCGTATGTAAAGGAGTTTTATTTGGGGAGTGGGAGGGTAATATTTGGGCATCTTGTACTTAGGACATCTAGGGAATTCAGTATGCATAGTTTTAGTGATTGCATTTTTCTACATCCTAATTAATAAAGCTCTACTATGCAGACTTGAGCCCAGTTTTAGGCAATAGAAATGACAAAAGAAATACTTGAAACTGAAAAAGGAAAACTTTCAACCTTTCATTTGTTTCAACTTGACCATTTTTTGATTCTGATGTTTTTCCATTTTATCAATAAGCACCTCCTGTAAACATTGAGTCACCACTGCAATATAGTAAGAAGAGGAATGGCCTGGGAATCCAAATGCCCTAGGTCTGGTCTCCGTGTGCCATCAACTTGTTGTGTGAGTTTGTGTAACTGCCATTCTAATCCAACACAAAGTCATCAAGAGAAAGAAAATGAAAATAGAGTATCTCCCTGATATAGTAATCCTATGAGAGAAGTAAATCAATTTACGAAATGACTTAACTGTATTTAGGCAAGATATTTAATAATTTGTAGGGTTTTTGTTGTTGTTTCCTTTGTTATTGGATCAAATGTTAAATAGAAGCTAAAGTCTAATCTGGTTGGTTGGATTCATACTTGGTTGAATGACTAGTCCCAGGGATATTGAGGTGGCCCCCACATTAACTCTCTTCCATGAAAATGCTTGTTATAAGGTGCTATAATATCACCTCCCTTATTTTTAACACATTAAGTGTACTGGTGAAGGAACAGGAAAAGAAGAACCATTATAGAAAAGGTAGGCTATCAGCCTTAAAAAAAAAAAAGTCAGATCTCTTTGTTCTGAGCACAACTCAAAAAATTGATAACATTTTTAGAATTGATATATTATTTTCAGAAGTTTGTTTTGTGTTTGAAGTTTGGGGGGAGTCAAAATTATATATGATAAAAATATTAACTAAGATATACCAAATTACTGTGATCTTTCCAAAATAATATAAATAAATGCAGACGTTCATGAAAATAGCAGCAAATAATTTTATACTCAGTCAAATATGGCAATTTAAAAAAAATGAAAACCATTTAAATTGGATTGGATGGTTTGGGAGAACAGCAATTTGGTATTGATTACAGTCTTGGTGAAGTTATCAGTGGCTTGTTCTAGAACAATACATTTTAAAGCTTTAAAGACAAATACTTTTGTCAAGAAATTTATGTTAACCCTATCATAAAATTAAGTTTATTTTAATTAGAGGCCATAGTGTATTAGTTGGAATTGGATAAAGGTTCCTAGAGGTGTTTAAGTCTGTATATTTAATGCAGGTTCATATATACATATATGTGATCCTGTATTATATGTATCATAAAATGCTGGATCTAGTAAGAGGAAATTTTATGTTATAAATATTAAACCTTACAATTGGCTGTGGAAGATAATTCAAAACAGAATTGAGTAAATAATAGTTTAGAATATCTATATTATGTGAAAACAAGTTTGGGATTTTTATTATATGCTTGATTTGAAATACACATGCTCATCCTAACATAAAATCAGTATATAGGCAAGTGTATAAAAGACAATATTCAAAACAAGCACCTAGGTTCCGAGATATATCCTAAATTGAGTAGAAGGGACTGGCACACTTTTACTGAATTAGAAAAATCATTTTCAAGCATTGCAGTTACAGAAAACATGTGTATGCATGCATCAAACAAATCAGAGCTGAGCATCATATTCATGCTAGGTAGGAACTTGAGAAGAAGGAGGACATAGATTCTGTTCCACAAATAGTTCTCAATTTAACGAAGAAAATGAATCAATAAAAAGTCAATTGCATAAGATTAAAGGTTAAAATAGGAGTGATGAAGGGTGCTGCGGGTAGCTTAATGGTTTGGAAAGAACATTCAAAAAAGATTCCCCAAAGAAATGGCATCTAAGCAGAAATCTATGAAAGGATGAGTCCTATTTAATAAATGAAGAAGGAAAGGAAAATGTGTTCCTAGCAGAGGGGTCATAATAGACAAAGATACAGAAGCAGGAAAATAGTGTCTTATTTGGGGTTCAAATTTCCTTTGGGTGATTAAATGAGGAGTCACAAGACCAAAGAGGCTAGGGAGATAGTAAGTTTCTTGTTAGTCATCTTAAGGAATTGTATATATCCTAGGATATGTAGAAGCCTTAAAACACACACACACCACAATCCAGCTTTTCTTTTAGATCACTTTTAGACGACGGATGTGAACTCACTTCACCTAAATCATCCTAACCCTTTGACTCCATCTCGGGCTACTACCGCATGTGTTGTGTTGTTTTGTTTTTACTAATAAGTAATGGCAGTCGATTGGGGGTGGACTTTTTAGTTTAGGCATACATTCTTTTTATAACAGCAATAAAATGCTCATATTTGTCTGGTAAATAACTACTCTAAAATTTGACAATATAAACTGAATTTTCTTCCTCCTTGGTTTCTGAATGCACTGGCAAATTTTCCTGTTCAGGCAGCTTCTGGAAAATTATGTCTAGTGATTAGGCAGGGATCCCTTATTCCCAACCTCCTTTCTCTGTGATACTCAGGAAGTCCCAGTTGCTTAGTTTATCTTCGGATGCTTGTGTGTTTTTAGGATAATTTAAACTATTTCATCGCCTATTTAAAACTATTAAACAATTCGAAAATTTACGTGCCATCCTTGACACCAAGGCCCTGCTAACCATCTCTATTGCAATTGTAGTATATGCACTGCCAAAAGTTTTGAGCAAAGCTCAGTGATACTCAGACTGGAATCTTTGTAATGTTAACTAGTATATCTAAATTTTTATTCAAGAGACAGTAATAAATTTTGCAATGACAAAATATCATGTATTATCTTTAAAGAAGGATAGAAAGATAAATTTGGGTGGAAACACCCTGAAGAGGTAAACATTTACATTCACTTTATGCTATCTCCCAAAGTATGCCATCCATTCACTCATCTCATCCATCTTTCTATTTCATCTTTCTATTCATTACAGTGTTTGAGTGTTTCCTATGTGCCAATCATTGCCAACCTGAACCCATCTCTTACCCAACCTCCCCCTTCCTGAGCTTCAAAGCTACATTGTCAATGCTTTAATAGACATGCCCATTTTTCATGTTCACCTGTATACACATGACCAAACAGAGGCATCGAAGGCCACAAGCATAAACCCTGGAAGACCATAGTCAAAGGGGAAAGTGAGGAGGGTAGCATAAACACCATCCATGAGGTTTAAAGCACTTCCTATATCTTCTTATTCATTTTTTCCATATTAATTTTGTTCCTTTTTACAAATACGAGTTTATTCCAAGTCCATATAGAACTAATTAGAAGGTGGCCATTGGGAGGTAGCATTCCCAGTTCCTCTGATGGACTTGAGTTACAGAGTTCAGACACTTCCTATTCAGGTAGAAATATAATATATATATTAAACTCATAGAAGAAAAAGAATAATAGCTCCTGCTAACCAGCAACTTGTTATTGTTAGGAGCCATCAAGTCGGTTCTGACCCATAGTGACCTTATGGATAACAGAACAAAACACTGTCCTGTATGGCCCCATCCTCGCAATCGTTCTTATGCTTGAACTTATTGTGGCAAACACAGTGTCAACCCAGCAGCTAGCCTGGTACTATACCGAGGTCATGGTGTTACCAGGCTAGGGTGTTTTCCTTTTGGACGTAAAACATTTCACTGAATTCCAACATTAGGCAAGGCTATTCTATTACTGTGATGAAGCCAAATAAAAATGCTTTATAATTATGTCTGAGCAAAGACTAAAACAAGAGCATTATCCAAAACACAGAAATAACTAAATATTTACTTTTACTGGCTAATATTTCAAAATTATAGTTTTATTTTTAACTGTTTTATTGGCACATAGTGCATGTACCATACAATTCAATGGTTTAAATATATTAATGAGATTTGTGCAAGCATTACCACACCTATTTCGGAAGACTTATTTCCTTCTGAGACCCTTATTAATGGTTTTCCATTATCCTCCAATTTCCTCTGACGTAATCCCAATGAACTAGTAATCCAGTTACTGTCTCTATGAATTTACCTGCCATGGATTTCTTAAACATAAAATCATATTTAAAAAGCCAATCATGTAAAACCAAAATCACTGCCATTGATTTAATGGTGACTCATAGCGACCCTATAGTACAGGGTAGAAC